CTGCACCTGCCATCCTGGCCACTGAGGCTTCCTCCTTCATCAAGGTGTGGCCCAGCCCAGGGTAGGGGCACTGTCCTGCAGAACCCTTGTGCTCACAAGGCACCTCTTTGCCATGTGCGAGGGGTGGTGGAGGAGTCAGGAATCGCCACCCAGCTCGGTGGGGGAGGTCTCAGTACCGTCCCTAGCCCCCTGGGAGGGCCAGGGCCCAGACTGTGGGAGCATGCCCTCAGGGGAATGTGGGACATGGTAGGCTCTCATGGGGGCGTGTCCACATATCCATGACAGAGCCGACGTCCACCTCAGCATCTTGCCTTTGCCTCCTCCCCCAGGGTACAGCCTGTGAGCTGGGTCTGATGGAGAAGATTGGGGTTTTCTTCACCTCCTCCCCTTTTCCCCCTCATGCCCTCTGAGGTGGAAGCCGGAGTTTGTGCTCCAGCTTCATGGCTGTGTGGGCTCCCCACTGCATGGGAGGTGGGGCTGAGTTCCCTCCCCACGCAGCTGAGGGAACTGGCTTTCCCTGCTTCAAGGGGGTACAAATCCAGGTAAGCATCCCCCCTCATGCCCAGAACCCCACACCTCAATCCCCACTGAGGGTATGTCTACACTACCCCGCTAGTTAGAACTAGCGGGGGTAATGTAGTCATCCGCAGTTGCAAATGAAGCCCGGGATTTGAATTTCCCGGGCTTCATTTGCCTGAAGGCGTACAGCTAGTTCGGATTAGAAAATCCGAACTAGCTAGTCCATGCTGCGTGTAGCTGCGTGGCACGGGGTCCGACTTAGCCGGCATTTAAAAATGGCACCGGCCGGCTTCATGCAAATGAAGCCCGGGAAATTCAAATCCCCGGCTTCATTTGCAACTGTGGATGACTACAAAAGCGACGAGGCAAGACCTTCAACAAGCATTCTGTAAACTGCGATACCCACACGAGGAAGTGAGGAGACAGATTGACAGAGCCAGACGTGTACCCAGAAGCCTCCTGCTACGGGACAAGCCCAAGAAAGAAACCAACAGAACACCACTGGCCATCACCTACAGTCCCCAGCTAAAACCTCTCCAACGCATCATTAGTGATCTTCAGCCCATCCTGGACAATGATCCCTCGCTCTCACAGGCCTTGGGAGGTAGGCCGGTCCTTGCCCACAGACAACCCGCCAACCTGAAGCATATTCTCACCAGCAACTACACACCGCACCATAATAACTCGAACTCAGGAACCAATCCTTGCAACAAACCTCGGTGCCAACTCTGCCCACATATATACACCAGCAACACCATCACAGGACCTAACCAGATCAGCCATACTGTCACTGGTACATTCTCCTGCACATCCACCAACGTAATATATGCCATCATGTGCCAACAATGCCCCACTGCTATATACATCGGCCAAACAGGACAGTCCCTACGTAAAAGAATCAATGGACACAAATCTGATATTAGGAATGGCAACATACAAAAACCTGTAGGGGAACACTTCAATCTTCCTGGACACACAATTGCAGATCTAAAAGTAGCTATCCTGCAGCAAAAAAACTTCAGGACCAGACTTCAAAGAGAAACTGCTGAGCTACAGTTCATCTTTAAGTTTGACACAATCAACTCTGGATTAAACAAAGACTGTGAATGGCTTGCTAACTACAAAAGCAGCTTCTATTCTCTTGGAATTCACACCTCCAGATCAGCTGCTAGAAGTGGGCCTCATCCTCCTTGATTGGATCCACCTGGTCATCTCCAGCCTGATCCTGGCCTGCATATTTATTCCTGCCTCTGGAAATTTCCACTACATGCATCTGACGAAGTGGGTCTTTGCCCACGAAAGCTTATGCTCCTACACTTCAGTTAGTCTATAAGGTGCCACAGGACTCCTCGTCGCTTTTGCAGATTCAGACTAACACGGCTACCCCTCTGATACTTGTGGATGACTACATTACCCCCGCTAGTTCGAACTAGCAGAATAGTGTAGACATACCCCAAGAGCCCACACCCACAGCTTGCTCCTATACTCTCCCTTCCTCCTGCACTCTGCCTCCTGGCCACACACTGCACCCTCCCTCATTTTTGCTCCCTCCCCCCAGCAAGATACCCTACTCTCAGGCTGCTTGTGCACTCTACCTCCAACCCAGACCTTGCACCTTTACCCCCTCCTGCACACCACCTCCCGCCCAAATCCTGCACCCCCATCCCTATCCCACTTGCTGGCAGCCCGGTCCTGCACACCAATCTCTTCATTTATGTCTCCATCCCTGAGCCTAAATAGGTCCAAAAAATCCACTAATTCTGGAACCCCAGAAAAGTAAGTCTGGCCTATGAGAAGCCCTGAACCTTAGTCCTCCCTGTCCCTTCCCCTCACCCTGTGGGACTGGAACACCAGAGGAGTGAGGTGTCTCAGTTTGGAGTCACATCAGTCAGGGTTGGGGGGGGTTGAAGAGTTATTTTGCTTCTTACTGGTGTGGTCCCCATCTGATTTTTCTGTGGGTCAGTGGCCCTAGACACTAAAAAGTTTCCTCACGTCTGCCATAAATAACAAAAATATTGAAACCTTTTGTGTTGGACATAAATTAATGTATTACTTTATTTAAAATGAAGTTTGATAAACTAACATGAGAGAGTTAAAATGCTTAATCTGTGTAATAATTTAAATGAAACCATTCTCCTTCACTACAGCACCAGCACAATGGCTCGGGTGTAATTATGTAACTGTGAGTTTCCATTAGCAGCTGATGGTCTGAGGAAAGATTTGCATTGAGCCAAGTGGTCCATGGGCCAAAATGTTTGAGAAACACTGCTCTAACCTGAAGCAAATTCTTTCCAGAAATCATACATCACACCTCAAACATACTCGTGCAAGAACCTACCCCTGCAATAAACCCCATTGCCAACTCTGTTCACACATCTATACAGGCACACATATGCCACATATACCGCTGCCTCAGAGATCCATTGCATCTGCATATCCTCTAATGTGATATATGTCACAAAGTGCCCCCTGCCCAAAGCAGGACCAACCTTAACTAAATAATTGTCAAGCCAGGACTTAAAAACCTCTAGGGATGGAGATTCTACTACCTCCCTGGGTAACCCATTCCAGTGGTTCACCACCTTCTTAATAAAAGTTTTTCCTAATATCTAACCTAGATCTCCCCCACTGCAACTTGAGACCATTGCTCCTCCTTCTAATATCTTTCTCTACTGAGAACAGCCTCTCTCCTTCAGGTAATCAAAGCCCCCCTCACTCTTTTCTTCTGCAGACTAAACAAGCCCAAATCACTTGGCCTCTTCTCATAAGTCATGTGCTCCAGACTCCTAATCATTTTCATTGGCCTCTGATCAGACCCTCTCCAATGTGTTCACATCCTTTTTGTAATTAGGGCCCAGAATTGGATGTAATACTCCAGATGTGGCCTCACCAGTGCTATATAAAGAGGAATAATCGCTTTTCTAGAACTGCTGGCAATGTTCCTCCTAATGCACCCCAATATGCCATTAGCCTTCTTGGCCTCAAGAGCACACTGTTGGCTCATAATCCCCAGGTCATTTTCTGCCAAACTGCTGCTTGGTCAGTTGGTCCCCAGCCTGTGGTAATGGTAGGGATTCTTCCATCCCAAGTGCAGGACTCTACACTTGTTCTTGTTGAACCTCATCAGATTTATTTTGGCGCAATCCTCCAATTTGTCTAGGTCACTCTGAACCCTATCCCTACCCTCCAACATATCTACCTCTCCCCCAGCTTAGTGTCATCTGCAAACTTGCTGAGGGTGCAACCCATGCTCTCATTCAGTTCATTAATAAAGATGTTGAACAAAACTGGCCCTAGAACCGAACCAATCCAGTCTCCTACCATGTTTGCCTCTCTTGCTACGCGTCGGGATGCTTTCTTTCTGTGCCTTCAATAAGGCTTCTTTAAAATACTGCCAGTTGTCCTAGACTCCTTGCCCCTTCATGTTAGCATCCCAGGGGATTCTGCGCATCAGGTCTCTGAGGGAGTCAAAATCTGCTTTTCTGAAGTCCAAGGTGTGTATTTTACTACTCTCTTTTCTTCCTTTGGTCAGGATCCTGAAATCTACCATCTCATGATCACTTCCGAGGTTGTCATGCATCTCTACTTCCCCTATTAGTTCCTCTCTGTTTCTGAGCAGAAGGTCAAGCTGCGCACGGCCCCTGGTCGGATCATTCAGCACTTGCACCAAGCAGTTATCCCCAACATTCTCCAAAAACTTCCTGGATTGCCTGTGTACTGCCGTATTGGTCTCCCAACAGATGTCAGGGTGATTAAAGAGAACCAGGGCCTGCGATCTGGAAGCTTCGCTCAGTTGTCCGAAGAAAGCCTCATCTACCTCATCCACCTGATTTGGTGGCCTGTAGCAAACACCAACCACAACATCAATGCTGTTGTTTTCTCCTTTAAACTTAACCCATAGACTCTCAACAGGTTTTTCTCCCTCTTTATACTGGAGTTCAGAGCAATCGTAGTGCTCTCTTACATATAGTGCAACTCCTCCTCCTTTTCTCCCCTGCCTGTTGTTCCTGAACAGTCTATACCCTTCCATGACAGCGCTCCAGTCATGCGAGTCATCCCACCAAGTCTCTGTTATCCCAATTAAATCATATTTCTTGGACTGGGCCAGGGCCTCCAGTTCTTCCTGTTTGTTGCCCAAGCTTCTCGCATTAGTGTACAAACACCTCAGATAACCAGTTGATTGCCCTCTATTCTCCATTGGAATCAGGGGTCCTCCTTTCTTGCTCGTTCCTCTTTGCATTTCTTCCCGGTATCTGACTTTCTCACTCCCCTCGGGGTTTTAAAACTCTAGTGAACCTAGTTTAAAGCCCTTCTCACTAGGTTTGCAAGCCTGCCCATGAAGATGCTCTTCCTCTCTTGGTTAGGTGGATCCCATCTCTTCATAACAATCCTTGTGCCCGGAACAGAGTTCCATGGTCAAAGAAACCAAAGCCCTCTCTTTGACACCACCTGCGCAACAACACATTTACTTCCTCAATTTGACGATCCCTGCCCAGGCCTTTCCCTTCCACAGGGAAGATGGATGAGAACACCACTTTGTGCTCCGAATTCTTTGATCCTTCTTCACAGTGCTACATAATACGCAGTAACCCGCTCAAGGTCATTCTTGGCCGTATCGTTAGTTCCCACGTGGAGAAGCAGGAAGGGGTAGTGATCCGAAGGTTTGATCATTTTGGTAAGCCTCTCAGTCAAATCCTGAATTTGAGCTCCCAGTAAGCAGCACAACTCTCGTGATCCCAGGTCCAGATGGCAGATGGATGGCTCAGTCCCTCTTAGGAGGGAGTCCCCGACCACCACCACCCATCATCTTCTTTTGGGGGTGGTGGTCGTGGAACCCCCATCCTTAGGACTATGCATCCCATGCCTTCCAGTAGATGGTGTTCTCTTGCGGTTTCTTCCTTGTGAGGACCCTTCCAAAGCATTTACCACTGCAAAGCCTGTGGAGAAAGCCTGAAAGCGATTACTTACCTCTATAGCATTGGGGAATTCCTGTGCTGGCCTTTTCCCCCTTCTAGAAGTTACATGGCGCCAGTTCTCTTCCTGGTCCCATACTGCCCTCTCTGGCTCTTCCGCCTGCCGTGCTTGAAGGATTAAATGCTGCCTTCTATCGAGGAAGTCTTCATCTTCTCTGATCGAGCTTAGGGTTGACACTTGGGCCTCCAGTCCTCTAATTTTTTCTTCCAAAATGGCGACCAACTTGCACTTAGTACAGATGAAATCCATTCTTTCTTCCGGGAGGAAGACAAACATGGCACACGCTGTGTAGATAACAACAGCAGATCTATCACCATCCATCCCTGCTGTCCTGGAAAAAGGATTTAAAAGAAAGGCAAGAGAACCTTGTGCCCTCCCATCTTCCCTTCCAAACTCCCTCTCTAAACTCCCTGTCAGCACTCACCTGTTTGCAAGCTCCTTGGTCACTTGCTCACTGCTTTATAAAGCCCTGGACTGCCTGAAAGTCCCTCCCCCTACCAAGGCTCAGCCAATCAGCAGAGGCTTCTAGAATTCAAACTTTAATTAGAAGCCAACAGTTTCCACCTGCCAGTCACAGCACACACTCCATGAAGGAGAGGGGGAGGGGAAAGGGAAAGTGTGGGGGGGAAGCCTCACTCACAAACAGGGGAAAAAACCCAAACAAACAAAAATGTCCCCTATTAATCTCCTCTTTTCCAAGCTAAACATAACTGCACATCCTAAACTCAAAACTCCGGTCATCTGAAGAAGTGATACTAGATCATTTGTTGTTTTTTAAGTTTATCCTATACAGACTAACTCAGCTACCCCCTGAAGCTTCTAAACATAACCAGTTCCTTCAGCCGTTGCTCCTTGGCTCTGTTACAGGAGTGGGTGGATGAGATTCCATGGCAATTGATGTGCAAGATGATGATCATGATGGTCTCTTCTGATCTTAAATTCTAAATCTGAATTGCTGAAGAGATCTGAAGACAGATGACTCAGCCTTCAGTAATGTCAGCTATTGGGAAAAGACATCTTCCAGGCCTGCCAACAGTAATTCTGGGTCCCAAGGCAGAAGCACCACACACATACAATCAGCGGTCTGCCTGACATTTGTGTGATGCTGCACCTTTGCTGGCTGATGCCCAGTGAGCTGTCAGCTATGCTGGCACCCAGGAAACTGCCAACTGCACTAATGGGCACACTCTTCTAGCATGGCCAGGGCTTCTACATGCCCACTTTTCTAATCACACATATTGAAAGATCCATTCCTCCTCCCTTAATTGCTCACTTTCCCCAACCCTCATTCCCTTTCACCAGGCTCGGTGGAAGGGGTGAGGGATGTGGGTTCTGGGGGTGGGGGAGTTTGGGTGCAGGTTCTAGGTTGGGGCAGGGAGCTGGGGTGCATGAAGGAGTGAAGTGGTCAGTGCTTACCTTGGGTGGCTCCTGAAAGTGATCGGCACCCCCCTCCTTGCAATGGATCTTAGGCAAGAATGATTTTTGTGTAATGCTGTTCCAGGCACCACTCTCGCAGCTCCCATTGGCCTCAGTGCCTGGCCAACGGGAGCTGCAGAGTCAATGCTTGGGGTGAGGGCAGCATGCAGAGTATATTCCAAAAATGAGTTAAGGACAATTTTTAGCTCTTGATGCTTCAGCCAAGGCTATACCTTCAGCTATTTATTTAAGGCAGGGGTGGGGAACCTTTTATGGGTTGAGGGTCGCTGACCCACAGAAAAATCAGTTGGGGGCCACACACATGTGAGAAGCTGGAGAGGGGCTGGAGCACTAGCAGAAGCTCCCCAATGCTGGGGGAAGCTCTAAGCCTCGGGGGCCAGATGTAGGCAACTTAGGGGTTGCATCCGGCCTTTGTGCTTAAGTTTCCCAACCCCTACATATCTGGTTAGATTAATGGGCCAGACATTGATCGTGGATCAGTGACAAGAATGAAAACTGAAGATATTCTTTTTGAGGAAGATTGTCTATTTAGTGAAAAGAGAAATGCGGTTCTGGAAAAAATTTGAAATATACAGTGTTATGGCTTCAAATCAGAACCACAAGCCAGGTACCAGAGTCAAACTGGATCAAGATAACAGGAGGATCAAAGACTACAGAGAAACTGGAGAGCAGAATACATGTTTCTACTTCAATAAAAATATTATTTGGTTTGGAAAGTCAATAACTTAAAAATTCTCTAAGATTTAAAATTCCCAGTACACCTTTGTGCACCCATCTTGTGTGCTGATTGAAGCAATTAGTTCCATTAACTGTTGTTTGATTTTTGTCTAGCTTCAATTTCTAGCCATTGTATTTTGGTATGTTGACAGATTAAAGTGCTCTCTAGTATTCGATATTTTCTCTCTGTGCAGGCGAATAATGTGCACAGAATTCAGTAACTGCTCCAGAGCATACTACTTCGACACAATAAGAAAACCAGGAAAAACTTGCCTTCTTAACATACCAGAAAAGAAAGTGTTTGGAACAATGATGTGTGGTAATGGTGTAATCGAAGAGGAGGAGGAATGTGACTGTGGTATTGATGAGGTTAGTAATTAAAGATGTTAGTTCCATGCGCATTTTACAAAAGCATTATTATTAAGTTTGCTATGCAACTTCAAAACTACTCCATGTAATATGATGTAACATGACATGATTTTACAGTGGAAGAGCTGGTCATGATGTACTTAAAGCATAGATTCAATTATTTTTTTTACATATAAAGAACACATTTTATGTGCATCAAAATTACAGTTTTCAGTACAAAGCAAATTATTTTTGAGTACACAATGAATTTTATGAGAACATGTTAAAAACAGGAATACATTTCCCCCTTCTGTTTAAGTAATCCATACATTAAGGGGTCACATTTTATGACAGAAGAATTGTTAATATAGTCCCTATTTTTAAGAAAGGGGAAAACGTAATCCAGGAAAACTATAGGCCTGTTAATTTGACCTCAATTGTAGGATCTTGGAACAAATTTTGATAGTAAAAGTAGGTAAGTGCATAGAGGTAACATCTTGGAACCAATTTCTCTGAAGTTTTTCAGGTAAAGGGAATCTCCATCCCTAGAGCTTTTAAGTCCTGGCTTGACAAAGCCTTGGCTGGGATGATTAAATTAGGGTTGGTCCTGCTTGGGTGGGGAGGGCGGGGGGTTAGACTCTATGCCCTCACTACACAAAACAACCTGGGTAGAGGGTGGAAGGAGATGGTTCTTCGTCGAGTAGTGTCCCTGAGGGTGCTCCACTCGAGGTGCTGGGTCCGTCCCGGCGCTGCAAAATGGAGAAACTTCCACAGCAGTAGCCCTGCCGGCCCGCACATGTGCTCCTGTTGCCTCGCGCTGTTCGCGCCGTTACAGCTGAGCGCGGGCCGGCTCGTCAGTTTCCTTCAACCGTCTGCGGCCACAGACGGACCTAGGACGCGCTCCCTCTCTGGCCTGAGGAGAAAAGGGAGTTTCATTTTAGAAATCTGTTTGCCACTTGGCAGTTCATAGTTAGGATAGTGTTAATAATTCTTAGTAGTTATTACTTATATAGTTAGTTAGTTAGTTATTTAGTTCTCAAGATCCTTGTTTCCGTCCTAGTTTATTTTTTTGTAGTAGCCTTTAAAAAAAAAAAGAAGAAAAAGAGAGAAAAGGAAAGAAAAGACAAAATGCCTGGCTTCAAGAAATGTTCCCAATGCCAGGAGGCGATGCCAGACTCAGATGGGCATTCGCGCTGCGTTAAATGCCTAGGGGACGGGCACATCCCTATGAAGTGCCCTCACTGCATGGAACTGACAGCCCACACACTCCCACTACCTCGGGAGTTCACTTGTCCCGTTCACCTCAGAAGGACCTCCGCAATGCCGAGCCACAGCCCAGGACCGTACGGGACAGACCAGGTACCTCTGGCTCTTTGCCGAGGCACCAGACACAGAAGCCAGGCAAGAGCCGCAGTGCCTCAGCTCCGACTTTGGTCGGATCAAAAGACCTGATGCAGGCTCCTTCTAAGGGACCGCGGGCAGACTCGGCACCGACAAAGGCTCCAACGGTCGGGCCACAAACAGCAATGGCGGCTCCGGCACCGGCTGATACTGCGCATGCGCAGTCAATGACAATTCCGCCGGCACCCGTGCCCACGGAGCCAGCAGCCACTGACACTTCTGCCGGCACCCATGCCCACGGTGCCGGCTGATGAGACCTTGCTCCCTGCGGTGCCGCAAGCAACGGCACCGACTCAGGCACAGCAGGTGGTCAGCGGCACCGCGCAGCACTCTGCACCGCAGCCTCCTCCGGCACCGGCACAGCTGTTAACTCCCGCGGCACCGCTGATTCAACTCCAAGGCAGCCATGCGACCGGGACTACACCACTTCAAACGGCACCGTTTTCTCCTGCAGATTGTTCGGTGCCGAATGAGGTGCCTTTCAAGTCAAGGTGCGTTCGGACCCCTTCACTCACGCCTGAAAGAGCACGGTTCTCTCTGGGACCTTGGTCACCAGCTTCAATCTGCTCTGAAAACCATCGTGCTTCTCATTATGTTTCCACTAGAGACCGCTATCATAGATCACTGCAGTGATCACCGTCGTACCATCACTATTGCTACCACGATCAACGACGCTATTCCTATTATTCTCGTTCACCATCTCGTTTTTCTGACAGATCTATATCACCGAGGTCTTCAGGACGTTCGAGATATTCACATCGATGCGAGGTGTCCAGAGCCTACACTCGTAGACGCTCCCCGACTCACGGTCGGAGATGTGATCGTCACTATGATGACCGCCAGTGTCCTCATACCACGCGATATCCACGATCACGATCTCCGCAAACCACCCGCCCAGCGTCTCCACTTCGCGCGCCTTCACCGGCAATTCCATCAGTGCCTGTGGAGGGCGCGATGCCAATTACTAGTCAGGACGAGTATGAAAACAACTACACTCCAAATAGGGAACCACGGACCCCTGAGTCTCCGGCCAACCAGTCATCTCCGGACAATGCTGTCTTTCCTGGTGAACTATCCCCCACGGAAGATCACAAACAGTTTCAGGAGCTCTTTGCCAGAGTGGCGCAATCTCAGGGTATCCAAATTACGGATGTACAGCAAAAGCAACATCCCTTGCTGAAGAACTTGCAGTCCTCACAAAAATCAAAACTGGCTCTACCCTTCGATGAGGCTATCCTGGAAATCGCAAATGACATATGGCAGACCCCCGCCGCTTCTTTACCAACTAACAAGAAGGCGGACAAGAAATACTTTATAAAACAAAAAGAGATGGACTTTTTGTTTACGCATCCCCAGCCCAATTCCCTTGTTATGGAAGCCGCCCAGCAAAGATCAAAGACGGCCCAAAATAAAAATATGGCAAGTGATAAAGAGGCTAAACGCCTGGACATTTTAGGTAGAAAAGTGTATTCTTCTGCCACTTCAGTTCTCCGGATGTGCAATTACGCGGCTCCCCTTGCCAATCACGACTTCAACAACTACTCCAAATTAGTCCCTCTTCTAGAGCACCTACCAGACTCAAAGCACCAGATCTTGAGGGCGGTAATACAGGAGGTAATACAGGCTACACAACGGCCAGAACAGCACTTCAGATCGCCCTAGACACGGCTGATGCAGCAGCTAGAGCCACGGCTACTGCGGTAGTTATGCGTCACGGGTCGTGGTTGCACCAAGCAGCTGCCCCTTACCTTTCGATCGTCAGTCTCTTTTCGCCCAGTCCACTGATCAGGTGTTCCACTCAGGCAAGGACTCCCGTACGACTCTTAGAACGCTTGGCATGCATACACCTCCATATAAACGTAAGAGGTATACGCCCTATAACAAACAGAGACCATTCTCTTACGTAACATTCTGCCCCAAGCCATATGAACAACAGAGACCAAGACAACGCCAACAAAAATGAAGACAACAACCTGGCAAGACTTCCAGTCAGCAGCAGGGCCGGCAACAAGTTTGATGGGTCAGTCTAGGGACTGCGTGCAACTCCTTTGTCGGGAGCGTCACACAATCAGGTAGCCTTATTCCATCATCGGCTGAGGCCTTATCAACATCGCTGATCTCTGATTTCCACTGATTAATTTTCTCTCCCCATTGGTGGCTGGGATTTAGGGTGACCAGGTGTCCAGGTTTCAACCAGAAACACCTGGTCAAAAAGGGATATTGCCTTTTGTCATCTATCCTTTTATCCTATCTATGAGGATAGGGTCATAATTCAAAATGATCTGGACAAATTGGACAAATGGTCTGAAACAAACAGGATGAAGTTTAATAAGGACAAATGCAAAGTGCTCTGCTCCACATAGGAAGGAACAATCAGTCTCACACAGAGGCTACGTCTACACTATGAGTTTTCTTGGCAAAAAATATGCTAATGAGGGACTCATTTGCATGAGTCATGATCTCATTTGCATATTTTATGCTATTCTGTTTTTGCCTAGGAACAGGTGATTCCTTCGTTTCGTAGTGGACGTGGAACATTACCAATACCGAGTGTTACCTTTCGGTCTGTCAGCAGCACCACGGGTGTTTTCCAAAACCCTGGCGGTGGTAGCTGCTTACCTCCGATGCCTCAATATCACGATTTTCCCATACCTCGACGATTGCCTATTAAAGGCCCCGGCTCGCGAAGAGGCTACGTGGGCAGTGACCACCACCACAGCCGTATTCGAGGCTCTGGGCCTCATAATCAATGTCAGCAAATCATCCTTGGCACCAAGTCAGGACTTGGAGTTTATCGGCGCGAGACTCGATGCACTGAGTGCGAGAGTATACTTACCTACAACAAGATTCCAGCTGATTCGGGACTTGGTACATACGGTTTCAATTGCTCCCAGATCCAGCATACTAACTTACCTGAAACTGCTCGGGCATCTGGCGCATGCGAGACTTCATCTACGCAGTCTCCAGCATTGGCTGTTCAAGGTCTACACACCGGGGGTACACGCTGTGAGCAAGACAGTGTCCATTCCCGGACATGTCAGGACTTCACTAATATGGTGGGACATCCCGGAAAATTTGTTATCGGGGGTCCCTTTCCACGCACGAAGACCCACAGTACAGCTCACAATGGATGCTTCTTTGATTGGTTGGGGCGCACATCTGCAACAACATCGAGTTCAAGGACTCTGGTCAGCACAGGAGTCACTTCTACACATAAATCTCCCCGAGCTGCAAGCTGTATCCAATGCATGCAGGCACTTCCTTCAGAGGATCAGAGGTCGTGCAGTCCACATCCTCACCGACAATATATGCACGGTGTACTATATCAACAGACAAGGCGGGGCCCATTCACGATCCCTGTGCGCTGAGGCGATATGACTGTGGAACTGGGCAATCCACCACAATATAATCCTTACCGCATCGTACCTCCCAGGCAAAGACAATATCATCGCAGACGCCCTGAGCAGACCCTTCCTTCCTCAGCACGAGTGGGAGTTACACAACGAGGTGGCTCACGGTCTCTTCCATCTCTGGGGGTTCCCGAGTATAGACCTCTTTGCCACTTGTCACAACAAGAAGTGTCATCATTACTGCTCACGGGCGGGTACTGGCAAGAATTC